GTGAAAAATATCTAAGCTGCTAAATTGCCTTACTTTGGAGTTCTCATTATTTTTTTTAATGGCAATTGCTTATTCCTTTTTTCTCCTCAGAAAGTGTTATCAACAATATTACTGAAACTCTTCAATTAGCAGGAGTATGGCTTGAAGGAAGTGAGAATTAGTCAATATTTTTATAATGTTTTTAATGCATTTTTATTTGGAAAGTACATTATTAGGGAAAAGGGATAGCAATGGTTGCTTGCTTTAACAAAAAAGCTTTAAAAAGCAGTTTTCAACAGATGATTTGTTTTAGAGAAATCATTGTGACACCCATTCTGGCAGCTTGGGCTGCTCATTGGCATCTGGTTGTGCTGGAGGACACAGGGTCCTGCTGTCCATCCAGGTAGTTCGCAAAGCAAGATTTTTGAAATGTTCTGAGAACCGCATTGTGTGACGGTCTAGTTTCTGCTCCTCTGTGAAGATCCCAAACTCCTATGACTGTCCCTTCAGACATTATTTTACTGGTATTATTTTGCCACAGTAGCAAGCACAGGCTTCTCCACACCAGACTCCATGGAAGGGAGAAGGAAATGTCCACCTTGGAGCTACAACTCTTTTACAGTGAGCAGAGATATAGTCAAAGGAGTTTAGGGCCCTTTCACCTCATCCTCATGTAGGTGTTTACCACTGGTCATATGAATAAGAGCTATTCAAAACTCAATCAGATAAGGCCTTGATTTGAGCCAGGGCTGAACTAGTTGACCTCCAGAGTTTCTTTCCAACCTAAACTATTTTGTGATTCCATGAACTGCATCTCGGACTCATGTTGAGTAGGGCTCCGTTAATGACAGAGGGAGCATGGGCTACGTAGCTTAGGGGACAGCACCTACAGATGGATGACAAAAATGCCAACCAAGTGGTCTGAGGAGAAACTGAGGCACAAAGATGTGAAATGACTTGCTAACAGCTATCTTGCATGTCAGTGACAGAGAAGGGAACAGAATTCAGTTCTTAATCCTGGCCTGTTCCTGCCCTTTCATCCTTAGCAATTTTTCTCTCGTGTCCCTGTCATGGCCAAATCATCTCTGACATAGGTGGGGTCCACATGCAGTAAAGCCGCTGGGGCAGGGGCATGCCCATCTCCCTCGCATCTTTGGACATGAGTATGGTGGCGACACGGGACGCCTCTGGGGACGACACGGCTGTGGGCCAGGCTAGTGTGACCCATGACAAATTTGCTTGTTGGCTCTGCCTCAGTAAAAGCAGAGGACAGACATGGCAGGGGGGGATGATGTGTGTGAGATTTGTCAGCATCCCTGTTTCCCGCAATGTTTCCACAGGTGTCACCACTGTCCTCACCATGACCACGTTAAGCATCAGCGCAAGAAACTCCTTACCTAAAGTGGCGTACGCGACGGCCATGGACTGGTTCATAGCCGTCTGTTACGCCTTTGTGTTTTCTGCGCTGATCGAATTTGCTACTGTCAACTACTTCACCAAGCGCAGCTGGGCTTGGGATGGCAAGAAGGTGCTGGAGGCCCAAGAGATGAAGGTGAGCACCACAGCCGAGGCCAGGGAGGGGGCGGTGAAGAAACGCTGCACGAGAGAGCTGCACTGGGACCAGGAGTGGGTAGTATGCAGCCCCGCAGTACTCCAGGAGGCTGGATGCTACTTACTGGGGTCCTCAGCTCAGGTCTCGACTGCAGTGGTTCTTGAGGGCCAGGGGAGGGAGGGCTTGGAGCGCCAGTTGCTGCGGTTAGTTGGAGAAAAAAACCCAGACCTGACTGCTCATTTTTTCTTCTCTCCTGCATGACCGTTGCCCGGTGCAAACGTGCATGCAGCTCTGCCTGTCTTTGGCTTGCTCTGTTGATGGCCTCCTCTCTTCATTTTTCTTCCTCTAACTCATAAATGCCCTACTCCACGTTCCTAGCATGCTGCACAAAGCCAGACACACTGCGGGATGCTGGTCTTACTGATGAAAACAGTCCCACTCCGCTGTGCCCCTGGCAGCAGGCAGTCCCTACCATCAGTCTCCCCAAGCACAGGGCAGCGAGGGAGGGTGTGCCACTCGTGCTGCATTACCCACAGCTGCCGGCAGCTGCTGCTTTGTACGCTCGGGCAAAGAGGGTGGGTGGGAAGCGAGCAATGGGAAGCAGCAACTGGCAGTAAATTAGTGCCTGGCATCACCCACATTTTCCCTTCTGGCTTGGGATCAGCCTTTCTGGCAGCTTCCTTCCTGACAGCCACCACTGCCCCATGCTCGTACCCCCTCCCAACGAGCTGATTTAATCTAGGCTGCACAGAGAAATCGCTTACTGTAGCATGCTGCTCCTTGTTTATATTTATTGAATCAATTTGAAAATCACCTTTGTCCTTGTTCTTGATTCTGGAGCCTTTATATTTTTCTCCTTAACATTTTAATGTGCTGTTTAAAATTGTTGTGGGGTTGTATGCGAATATCTGGCAGAACTGCAGTAACTTTTGGGAGGACAACACCCAGTCATCTCACTGGTATGGAGGTCACAGCAGGAGAGTGGAGGTCTAATGGAGAACCACAGCCATCATCGGGTGTTGAATGCCTCTGTCTTGTGTTTATTGGAGTCTCTCTACCCGTTTGCTTTTGCAGCTGTGATCTGGGAACCAGGTTCATGGCAGAAGGGCTCCAGAGAAGGCCGGTTGATGGTCTTCCACCTCCATCATGAGCAATAGCACTTATTTGGCCTCTAGAGACGAGAGGACCATTTCCCAGGTCATTGGCATGAATGAAGGATCAGAGCAGGTCCTCAAAGCAACTATGTCCTTTTTAGGGATGGGCGTATCAGCACAAAGTCAGGATTCACACTGTCTGGGACAGTTATGTGAACAGAGCCCAGTTAAAAAAAAATACCAGAGGCTCAAGTTTCAGTTTATTATTAAACAAAAGCACGGACCTTGATTTAGTCCTTGTCCTGGTACTGCAAAAGTAAAAGTGCTGAAACAATAGGATAAGACCATGCAAAAAGCTGGCACTCATGGTAATTGAATGAGAAAACAAAGCGGGAACAGAAATGGAAATGGGAGCACTCCTTGTGAAAGTATGCTGGATTTGGAGTCAGGCTGGAGAATCAGACAGAACTCCAAATTTTTGGGCACCTTTTCAAGCCAATACTGATCTTTATCAGGCCCAAACTTAGAAGGCTAACCTGCCTCTGATGTCTCTGCAGCTCGGGAATTCTGACTCTTCCCTGTCCTCTCCATCACATGTTTTATATCCACTGCCAATATTCCCACCTGGAAGCACCTACGCAAGCAGAACTCCCCAAGGAGTGGTGGGTTTTCAGGGAGTTTGCAAATACAATGTGTTACCGTATTTGCCCTTTATCTTTATTCCACTGCATATTTCCAGGCAGAGAATTCACTACACAATGAAGGTGCATCATTGGCTCTGTTTCATCCTCTAATTAGCTCTTCTTAAAACAATTGACAAGCCAGGTGGTTGAAACCACAAAAGCAAGAGGAGGCAGAAGAACGACTATTGGCATTTTTAAGTGTATGTGCCAGCAGTAAAACTACCGGTGACAAGTCCAGGTTTGAGCTCCGGTCCCCGGAGAACTGTCCTCCTCGCCAAAAAAGAATGCTCTTTGTTGATATGATGGCAAGGACCCTTACTTCAGGTTTAATTGCTTGCTTGCCTGAACAAGAAAAAAATCAGCAGGCATCCCCTCATCTCAAATGTAGGCAGCATCCCATCACATTTAAAAGAAATGGCTACCTTGCAAAAGCTGCTGGTGACAAAAAGGTCTTCCTGCTACATTCTCTCTGTCAGGGCTTGTTCTATCCTTTCTTTCTCCCCTTCATCCATCCCTTCATTGAGACAGGTTTCTCTGGGGCAGAACTGTTTCTGAGGTAGAATCTAAAATGATGGGCTGATCTTTATCATGGTGGATCACAGATCTCTGCATCATAAATGATCATCCTGGCTACAGCCAGCTGATCTATTGGGATCTGGCTAGGAGCTATTCTACTCTTTTTCTGCAGTTCTTCTCTAATGAAAGCCAGGCAGATATCACCATAGATCTTACCAGAAAGTCCTTGTAGCTCTCACTCTAATAAAAGTCCTTGTAGCTCTCACTCTAATAAGGTTTAACAAATGCTTCTTGGAGAATTTCTAAGCCTTTCCTGCTCGCCATCACTAATTGCTGGGTGTGGGTAAAAGATTTTCCTCTGTTTTTGTGAGGTAGAGTGGTTGTGACCAACTTAGAGGTACAGATCAAACTAGCAAGAAGTATCTGGGTGCAATGTAGAAAACTTGTTAGTAAAGATGATTTTAAAAAACCATCACCAGGCAGAAGGTGGGAGGTGGTGGCAGTCAGGAAGGAGTGAGAGGCCAAAGTGAATCAAAGATGAGTAGCCACCAAAGCCCCTTATCTCCAGCATTTTCAAAGATTCCCATTAAAAGGGTCCTCTCAGTTGGCATCTGGAGGGACTGTTCAGCCAAGACAGTCACTGGGAAGCTGCCAGCTTACCTCTCAGGAGAGCTTCACTACCGGATGCAGAGCTTTGGGACAGAGGGAGTGTGTCCAAACAGAGTGAGGCCCTTTTGGATCCCATCCATCCCATGCACAGGGATGGCCATCTCTGGAGCCAACAAGGTCACTTCCCAGATGACTGTTACAGCTGGGATCCAGAGAGATGACCCTTAGCAGTGTCTTTCCCACTGGAAACTCATGAAACCTGCAAGGATGACATTCACCAGGGAAATTTCCCCCCCCAGAGTCGTGTCTGTTCCTCAGGATGAAGCGTCTTTGGAAGATGCCAACCTAAACCCACTTCCATCTGCAGTGTCATGGCTGTGCATAAACTCTGACTGAGCTCTGTATCTGTGCTTATATGACATTGCCCTGAAATTCTGGGAGGTATAAGATCCAACCAAAAAAATAGAAATAGCTACAATCATACACATGAGACCAAGGAGGAACACGCTTTAGATGGGGGAATAGTTCTGGATCTTTTCCTTTCTCATCCTCAAGACAATAGTCCTGTAGAACACGGTGAGAAGGTTAGGTCCAGGCTTTTCATATACTTTTCACATGGGTTTTCTCCAAGCGAAAGTCGCTGAAGAGCATCCTCCAGACCTCTCAGTTGATACAATCATCTCGGTTTGCTTTCTTGTGTTTTGGAAGTGATAGGCATTTTCACCATTTGCCCTATGTACCTTTTCCACTGACTGTGTTAAGCCAAGCTTTTTGTCCCACCTACTCATCAGTAATTCTGAAGTTTGCCCCCTGGTCCAGGTCACTTGGAAATCATTCTTCTTTCTCTTTTATGTCTTTCAGTTTGTGGCATCTTTGTTTCATTCTCCTCCTTGCCAGTGGAGAGGAATGAGAAACAACCATCAGAGGCCACCATTTTCAACCAGTTTAAAGTGGTACAGACTCACAGAGTGGTTCAGGCCTATCTCTTTTTTTCTGCCTCGCTA